GATGCTTATTGTAGACAATATGGTATTGCACATGAGAAGACTCCTCCTAAAACTCCTCAGCTGAATGGTTTAGCGGAGAGGATGAACAGGACATTGATTGAAAGAGTTAGGTGTATGCTTTCTGAAGCAAAATTGCCTAAGCATTTCTGGGGTGAGGCATTGTTTACAGCAGTGCATGTTATTAATCTAAGTCCTGCAGTTGCTTTGAACTCTGAGGTGCCAGACAAGATTTGGTTTGGCAAGAATGTTACTTATGATCATTTACGTGTCTTCGGTTGTAAAGCATTTGTTCATGTTCCGAAGGATGAAAGATCCAAGTTGGATATGAAGACAAGGCAATGCATCTTTATTGGTTTTGGTCAGGATGAATTTGGCTACAAGTTGTATGACCCCGTTGAAAAGAAAGTTGTTAGAAGTCGTGATGTGCAATTCATGGAAGATCAAACCATTGAAGATATTGATAAGGAGAAGAAGTCTACACCTAAAGGAAATGGTAATGTGGATGATGTTGATCCAATTCGGTTGTCTATTAATGATTTGGATATTGATGCTCATGATGATGAACAACATGGTGATACTGATAATCAACAGGTTGAAGATAGCTTGGATGTTCCTATTGATAATGTTGATGAAGAGGAACATGATGTATCACATGATGAGAGTCTTGGTGATATACCTGAGCTACCTGAAACTCAACCTAGAAGATCTGACAGGCCAAGACAACCTTCTAAGAAGTACTCTACCAATGAGTATGTGATGTTGACTGATGAAGGAGAACCTGAATGTTATGAGGAGGCCGTTGAAAGTGAAGAAAAGCAAAAGTGGTTGGATGCAATGCAGGATGAGATGAAATCGCTGCATGATAATCACACTTATGACTTGGTGAAGTTGCCTAAGGGTAAGAGAGCCTTAGAGAACAGGTGGATCTTCAGGGTGAAGCAAGAGAGCAATTCTACATCTACCAGATATAAAGCCAGATTAGTGGTGAAAGGCTTTAGACAAAGAAAGGGTGTTGACTTCAATGAGATTTTCTCACCTGTGGTGAGGATGACATCTATCCGAACTGTGTTAAGTTTAGCTGCTACTCTTGATTTGGAAGTTGAGCAGATGGATGTGAAGACAGCCTTCCTTCATGGTGATTTGGAGGAAGAGATTTACATGAAGCAACCGGATGGTTTTCTTGTTGAAGGCAAGGAAGACTATGTGTGTAGGCTACGAAAAAGCCTATATGGTTTGAAGCAAGCTCCAAGGCAGTGGTATAAGAAGTTTGAGTCTGTTATGTGTGAGCAAGGCTACAAGAAGACTACTTCTGACCATTGTGTTTTTGTCAGGAAATTTTCTGAGAATGATTTCATTATCCTGTTGTTATATGTTGATGACATGCTTATTGTTGGAAAAGATGTTTCCAAAATTGACAGAGTTGAAGAAGCAACTGGGCAAGTCATTTGCCATGAAAGACATGGGAGCTGCTAAGAAGATTCTTGGTATAAGTATCACTCGTGATAGAAAAGAGAAGAAACTTTGGCTATCACAGGAGCACTACATTCAGAAGGTGTTGCAAAGATTCCAAATGGAGAATGCTAAGGTTGTAAGTACTCCTCTTGCTACTCATTTTAAGTTGAGTGTTAAACAAAGTCCTTCAAATGAAGTTGAGAAGATAGCTATGAGAAAAGTTCCTTATGCTTCTGCGGTGGGTAGTTTGATGTATGCAATGGTATGTACAAGGCCTGATATTGCACACGCTGTTGGTACAGTTAGCAGATTTCTGTCAAATCCAGGTAGAGAGCATTGGAATGCTGTGAAATGGATTTTGAGGTATCTTCGTGGTACTAGAGGTTTGAGACTTTGTTTTGGAGGTGATAAGCCTACTTTGGTGGGTTACTCAGATTCAGATATGGCTGGAGACATTGATTCCAGAAAGTCCACTTCAGGCTATTTGATTCAGTTTGCAGGGGGAGCTTTGGCTTGGCAATCAAAGTTGCAAAAGTGTGTGGCGTTGTCTACTACTGAGGCAGAATTCATTGCACTTACTGAAGCATGCAAAGAGTTGTTATGGGTGAAGAAATTCTTGCAGGAGCTTGGTTTTGTGCAAGATAAATACTTGTTGTATTGTGACAGTCAAAGTACTATTCATCTTGGTAAGAATCCAACTTTTCATTCTAAATCCAAACATATTGATGTGAGGTATCATTGGATACGTGATGTTTTGGATGCTAAGTTGGTGGAACTAGCTAAAGTTCATACAGATGATAATGGTGCTGATATGATGACCAAGGCATTGCCAAGAGGAAAGTTTGAAGTTTGTTGTGAGATCGCCGGTTTGGCGGATATCTCCACATAGTCGTGAGGGGGAGATTTGTTGGGTTATTGGGCTCCCTTCCTATGTGGAGAATAGGCCCAAATAGTGTGGTCCATTATGTCTCATTTGGGTAAAATGAGATGGGTCAGATTAGTAGAGGACAAGAGAGTCATTTGAAAAAAGACAAAAAGTCTAGTGAGAGAAAAAGAAAGAGAGAAAGTCATCTCCGCATAACCCTAAATCTGCACGGGTGTTTTCGTCGCTTTGAAGTCGTTCACCGTTGGATCGAGCTGATTTTTGGATAGTAGGTTCCAGACATATGGTTCTTCATTCTGACCGTTCGGATCGTCAATCGAAGGTCTAGATTGGGAGAAATTGGTCCCGCACCAGCAGCCCTGTTTTGGAGATTTTTCATCTTCTTTGTTTCTCTTTTGTAAGCATTTGTGCTTAGTTAATTCTGCTTATTGAAAATACCTTTTGGTATTATTATTGGAGACTCTTGTGTATCCCATTATTGATCATAGTGGATTTTTCTTTGGTCTGGACGACTCGTGGTTTTTACCCTTGCATTGAGGGGTTTTCCACGTTAAAATTGTTGGTGTCTCTTTGTGCTTTGGATTCTATTTGTTTGGTGCTCCTCGCTGATTCTCGCAAGAAGGGGGATTGAATTTCCGCTGCATTATTACTCTTTGTCAAGTTGTTATATTTGTTTTTTGGCCTTTTTTTTTATACCATCATGATGTGAGCATTAGACACTACAATTTAAAAGAGTTTTCTCTGTGTATAAGGAGCACGTTAAGTAATAAAATATACTATAAAAATAAAGGATTGAAGTGAATATTAGACAATACAATTTAAGTATTAGACACTACAAGACAATATAATTTAAGTATTAGACACTACAATTTAAAATAGAAAAATAAGGGATTGAGGTGAGTATTAGACAATACAATTTAAGTATTAGACACTACAAGATAATATAATTTAAGTATTAGATACTACAATTTAAAATAGAAAAATAAGGGATTAAGGTGAGTATTAGACAATATAATTTAAAAGAGTTTCCTTTGTGTATAAGGAGCTAGAGTGAATTGTGAATCAGAGAAGGTTTGCAATTTTTCGGTCCTAAAAATTACATGTTGAGTAATAAAATATTGTTGAGTGTGTTCATGGATGTAAACCTTGTGAGTCAGAGAAAGTTTGTAATTTTTTTATCCTAAAAATTGTACGTTGAGTAATAAAATATTATTGAGTATGTTCTCATTGAATGTGTTTCTTCCCCCAGCATAGATTAACATATATTATCTCCCTCTTGTATGTCAAATTGACAAATTAGGTCTAATGAACCAAAATTTACTGAGAACTTAAAAATACCTACCTATCTTATAATTTTTAATACGAATCGGGAGCCTATCCCTGAAAAATAATCCGTTTTGTAATGTTAATTATTAAATTGGAAAAGAATTTATGTAAAACTTATCCGAGTTTATAAAAAATTATTTATAAGTTATTTTTAAATTTTATGGTAAATCTTATAAGGCTAGTCATTAGGTAACGTACACCAGGTAGTTACATGAGCTAACTTTGACCCAATTACATTCATCAATTCATCTTTCTAAACTAACTTGTATTTAATAGGCTTCTTTTTGTAAACCTTTTTTTTTTCAAAGGGCATCAACACTCTTTCCTTTTTATTCAAACTTTTCATGTTTTCGCTATTTTTATTTTGACGAAAATAAATTTGATAGAAAAAAGTTTTTGTTGAGTTAATTTTTTTAACACCGAATTTTTTTTTTTGTTGTTTAAGTTTTTGATACATAATTAAAAAAAATAAAATTTATTTTATATTTTTTAATAAATATACGCAATTTCGCAGTACTAATTTATATTAAATTACTAAAAAATTTCATGTGTCTGTGGACTTTTCCTACTAACTTTTCGTAAGTTTATTAAATAAAATAAAACATTCCCGAGCAACTTATACGAATTATATAGTATTCGTAGGAAAAATAAAATGAAGTATTAAAATTTATAATAGTGTGCTGATAACATTATTGTTGAGTGACCAAATTAAAAAAAGTATTTATAAATGAAAAATATTTTAATTTGTATCCCGTTTTATTATTATATTGTAGGTGTAAAATATTTACAAATGATAAATCTCCACGAAAGATATTTTAGTGAAGTCTTTAATTTTAATAATTTTTATTTTAAAAGTTAAATTTAGTTTTACTCAAATTAATGTAATATTAGAGATGAGAAAATGTTGCTCTACCATACTGGACCAGTGATCAAGCTGTAAAAAGAAAATAGCACTTACCTTAGTAAATTAAATCTTATTAAACCAAATAAATTCGATAACTTGTTAGCTTAGGTTTTATGGATTTGACTTGGGTGCAAACAAATTGGTTAGTTTTTATTTTTATTTTTTTCTTCTTGCCTAAAATTTAATAGTTCATATAATTACTATTGAGTTTTTTAATATATAGAAAGGTGAGAGAGATAATTAATTTTTATAGAAAGGTGAGAAAATAAAATAAATGATAGAATTAATATATCAAAATCAATTAAAGTATTGCCTAATAAGGCCTAACTGATAGAAAAAATGTTTCAACACATATAATAATCTGCATTTGCACAACTTCAATTAACTCCGTCGTTCATCATGGAGTCATTTCACAATCCAATTAAACCCCAAAAAATGATTAAATTCATTTTAATCTGCTCTTCATTTTTTACCATTTCTCTGTGTGTATCAGTGCTACTCCTAGCCAAAACAAAGATTATAGAAGTGAGTTCTCTACAACATGTGTCTCAGTCGGATCCTACCACTGTTGATCATCTTGTATTTGGAATTGCCTCAACTGGACCTTCATGGCCGTGGAGGAAGCAATACACCAAGCTATGGTGGAACAACATACCCAATATAACAATGAGAGGATGTGTTTTTGTAGATACCCTCCCAGATGAACAAAATGGAAACAGTGATGGTTTTCTTCCTCCTCTTTGTGTCTCTCAAGACACTTCCCAGTTTCCCTACACTTACCAGGGTGGTCTACGGTCAGCAATCCGTGTGGCACGTATTGTAAAAGAGACCGTGGCATTGAACCATTCTGGTGTTAGATGGTACGTGTTTGGGGATGATGACACCATTTTTTTCCCTCGCAATCTGGTCAAAACTCTTTCCAAGTATGATCATAAGCGTTGGTACTATGTTGGGTCCTGCTCAGAAATTTATGAGGCCGCCCAGGTTTTTGGTTTTGAAATGGCTTTTGGTGGAGGTGGTTTTGCCATCAGTTCCTCCCTAGCACAAGTCCTAGCCAATGTTCTTGATTCATGTTTACACAGATATCCGCATCTGTATGGAAGTGATGCTAGAGTGTACTCTTGCATAACAGAACTAGGTGTAGGATTAACACATGAACCAGGTTTTCATCAGGTAACAATTAGGTTGAGAAATTTAATTAGAATATGCAATGGTCTTTACATTTCTTCGTTCTTCTTCTGATTAATTAGTCCTCTATTTGTGTGATCATGGAAATTGGATTAGGTTGATTTGCGGGGAAATATCTTTGGCCTGTTAGCTGCACATCCATTAACTCCCTTGTTGTCCCTACATCACCCTGATCACACTGATCCTATCTTTCCCAGCATGACAGCTCAAAAATCTCTGCAACATTTATTTGAAGCTGTTAATGTTGATTCCGAGAGAGTCCTACAACAAACAGTTTGTTATGAAAAGCGGTTGTCGTGGACAATTTCAGTGTCATGGGGCTATGCTGTTCAAGTGTTCCAGAACAACATGCTTTTGCCAGAAGTTGTAAGAGTGCAAAGAACATTCAGACAATGGTTGGAAGGAAACGTTTGGAAAGGAATATATAATTTCAATATAAGAGAACTTCACCCTGACCTATGTGAAAGACCTACCATTTTCTATCTAGACAAAGTGTCTTCCGGCAAAGATGGAATCATAAGCAGTTACAAGAAACATTTTCAAAATTGTTCATACAAGGAACCAATGAGTGAACTGGAAGTGATTAAAGTGGTTACAAATAAGTTACACGTTGATGACAAACAGGTAAGTTATATGTATATTGGACACTTGCATTTCTTGTTCTTCAGATCTGAGCTATTTTACATCGGTGATACAAATCATGTTACATTAACTTGTATTTGCAGACTCCAAGAAGGCACTGTTGTGAGGTGTTGCCCTCTGAAACTGGTGACTTGATGGAAATTGCAATCAGAAAATGCAAATATGAGGAACTGATTTACATGCATTAATGACATTAAATTATTTCAACATGCTCAAGCAGCTACCATCTTTGATAAGTTTCACATGCATCTAAGCAGTATTGTAAAATTCTATCATTTATCTCTCTCCCCACTCTATTTAGTCAAAATATATACAAAATTTTGTAACTATATCATAAAACTTCAAACATAATATTTAATAATAAGAAAAATATATATTATTTAACTTACATATATCTAATATTTTATCTTACTAGTGGAGATTCTCTTCTTTTATGTTGAGGACTTTTTTTTTTTTTTTTTCATGTTTTCATTGATCTTAAGAACTTATCTGACGGGATGATTGAGATGTTTGTAAAGATATTCTAATACCAAAATCAGCTTGAAAATTAATAATACTGTTAGTGAAAAATCGATACAAGGATCGAAAAACAGAAGAGAGAAAATCGAAGATCATATGATTGGTTAAAAAGTTGATAAATCGGAAAGATGGTCGGAAGACACCCGGTGACCACGAGATAGTATGAACATAAATCGAGAATGGAAATCGAGAATTAGAAAAGAGAGAAACAAATCGATGAAAGTAATGATAAAGTATAGTGTAAAGTCAAGGTTAAGGGAAATCGAACTCGATAACTGGAATCGAAATCGAGAAACAATTATAATGCACATGGAACGTTTTCTAAACCGTAAACTAAGGTAAAAATCGAGGAACGTGCACATGGAACGTGGTGACAGCTTTTTAACTGCTCTTAAGAGGTTATGTTGAATAATGCCTATAAATAGAACAAAGCTTGAAGAAGAAGGGGAAATTGGCAGAGACAACAGAAACACAAGTGAAAAGTCTACTGAAAAACGATGAATCATGAAGTTTCTGGCGATTTGGATTTCCATTCTCATTGACTATTTTTACCGCTTTCTTTACTTTCCCTGATAACTTATGTTCATGCAATTTGCTTTCATGCAATTTACGCTTACCAACTTTAAGTTTCTGCACTTTCAATTCCTTGTTATTTTACCTTTATACAAGTTAAAATTCTGCGTTTAAGTTCTTCTCCATTTATATTTTTGCAATTTCAATTCGATTGTCATTTATATTTCTCTGCAATTTAGATATTCTACGTTGCTTTTCATTTCGATACCCCTTGCTGCTTCCTTTACTTTGCGCTTCTTAATAAAAAATACCAAAAATAGTACTTTCGAGTGGCAATCTGCACACTAGGTTGTGTTGTTAGCGTTTTTCAATACTGTGGGATTTTCGATTCTCATGCATGTTTCGATTGAAAACCGTTTGTTAGTCTAAGTAAAAAGAATCTACGTGGTTGAAATTTGGTTAGAACTCAAGTCTCTGATTTAATCGAAATCGATCAAATTTCCACCAGAAACAAATTGGCGCGCCAGGTAGGGGAGAGAGAGAGTTGTGTCGAAAAACACAACTAAATTGGCTAGTTCGAAAGTGTATGAGATTAAGGAGTGGGCGAGTAAAAAGAATGAGTCAAAATCATCAAATAATCAGAATAACAGTGAGATCCTAAACGGTTCACATCCACCAAACACTGGGGGGCAAGTTCACAATGGGAATATGCCTGTAATATCGACAACTATGAGTACGTCGATGCCTGTAAGTACTGAACAAAGCCCAGACACATTAGCAAACACTCAGTTAGGATCTAGTACTGTAATGTCAAACAATATACAAACTATGGGAAACCCTGTAACAACATACGCAGGTCCGCATATGAGTGTAAGGCCACCTGGTTTTTCGTTTAATAATATGAATGGGGCTGGCACTTCTTCAATACAACGAAGTACGAGATTTAACCTAGGAATGCCCCAAAACTTAGGAACATTTCAAACCTTAGGTATGCCTCAAAATTTTGGAGTACCCCCAAATTTAGGGGTGTCTCAAAATTTGGTAACACCTCAGAATTCAGGGAGTGCACAGACTTTAGGAACACAACATGCACCTCCAATATCTAATCTAGATCACAGAGTAAATCTGGATCACGAGAGATATGCATTAGATAGAGATTATCATCGATCCAATTTCGAGACTATCGAGAACGCTGGTACTGGAATTTCCAGTAATTCATTAGGAGTGCTTCGGCAACAAATGGATGAAAGCAATTTCGAGATGATTAACATGTTATCACAACAGTTGACTACAGTACTAAACCCATTAGTTCAAAACACTACCACTAGTTTTGAGATATTAGCAGACCAAATGACACGTATCGGGGATGCATTGGCAATACCTCGACAAACGAGGGTCGAAAATAATGCCAATCAGAATATTAACCAAAACGATAATATCAATCCCCTTTATTTATTAAAGAGAAATCGAAACAATGATCAACATCAGCATGTGGGGAATGAATATCAGCATGTGAGGAATGATACTTACGGAAATTTGAATGAGGGATTTTAAAATATGTATAACATGCAGTACAATCACATGTTGGGACAAAGGATGAATCCCCAAGGAGTGGAATTAAGACCACCCAATCAACCGTAATTTGTTTCTCCTTTTCCAAGTACGATTCTCGAGACAGAATTACCCCGAGGATACAAAATACCCAAATTCACCAAATTTGTTGGAGAAATTGGTGAATCTACTATCGAGCATGTGGCGCGATATCAAATCGAATGTGGGGACCTAGCGATGAGTGAGGAATTAAAAATGAAATACTTTCCTAGTTCGTTAACAAAGGATGCTTTCAAAGATCGAAGTAAGCCACAATTGAATAAACCAGACGGGACCTGAAAAATTCCCTGAGGCTCTTGGGGTATTCAAAATGTCGACGGCCTCATCAAAAGTAGTATAAACATGGGCCAATAAGAGTTTTTCCAGACAAATTATGGGTTGGCCAGTATGGAGGAGAAAGGCAAGGTTATAAAAATGGGACGAGATTTGGATGGATCGGGGACAAATACGTGGGTACAGAGCCAATATACAAGAAAAGCCACATGCTCCTCGTCAGAAACAGCTACTGATTGATCATCGACAAAATGCTTTTCGATGAAATATCCATAAGCTTTCGATTCCTAATCGATTTTAGATCTTAAAGAGTCATCTGAGGGGAAAGCACCCTTAAAATATTTCTCCCCTGTGGGTTTTAGTCCGGTGATGGTAGCAACTTCAAAAAGAGCGGGAGAAAGGGGACCGCAGGGAAGTTCCAGTGCATGCAAGTCTTTGTTCCATAAATGGACCGCGGATAGAAACATGGACATATCCAGAAACTACAGATCACATCGAGATAGATGTAGAAAATCGAAGATCCCTACATCTCTCCAATGATTCCCAAATTTAGTTTTTACTCTATCAAACCATCTAATGTACAAAGGCTTTTTGTGGGGAGGGCCTGTTCGATATACTTTTGAAACAACATTCAAGAAATCAATTCGAACTTCAGACTTGTGAATAAGGGCTTTACTTTCTGAAGGAAGGCTGAGGGAAGAAGAAAACGACCCACCACAATAGTGGATGGGACCACCAAACGCATAATCTATACTATCAACGGCGTAAGGGATAAGTACCTGAGTTTCGGCAATCTTCTGCGAAGCCTCTTCCATCAAAGGAACCGGAGCAAACTTCTTTCCATTTATCTCTATCAGAGTCGAAGTTACTGAGGAAAGTGGTGGAGAAGTCGGAGGATCTGTAAGTCGCCATTACAATTTGTGGAAAGGTTGAAGATGAAGAAAAGGTACAATGAAGAAGGAGTAGGTTAGATTCGTGGTAAAAAACAAGGGTAAAAAACTAATGAAAGTATTTAAAGAGACCGACTAGGGTATTTGGAACGACGAAAGTGAAGAAGGTAATTAATACGTGTCGTACGTGTTGTGACAGTAGAAATGATGTGATTTGATATGTGACATAAAACAGAGAAACCCTAGAAATCCTAAAAAACCCCAGAAACCCTAAACCCTAAAAAGTTATTTTGAGCCTCAAGAACGTTTAAGGGCGGGAGTTATTTTTGAAAGAATATAAAATTGATACAAATATTTATATTCTTCCAAGGGGGCATTTTGTTAGTGAAAAATCGATACAAGGATCGAAAAACAGAAGAGAGAAAATCGAAGATCATATGATTAGTTAAAAAGTTGATAAATCGAAAAGATGGTCGGAAGACACCCGGTGACCACGAGATAGTATGAACATAAATCGAGAATGGAAATCGAGAATCAGAAAAGAGAGAAACGAATCGATGAAAGTAATGATAAAGTATAGTGTAAAGTCAATGTTAAGGGAAATTGGACTCGATAACTGGCAGTGGCGGATCTTGACCATTGATCTTGGAGGGGCCAAATAATATATTATTAATAAATAATAAAAAGAAAAAAGAATATGAAAAGTTGAAAAGATAAAATTGTAGATATATACTTAAATATATTAAATGATCATTAAGTTTGAGGGAAACCAAATCATAAATTATATGAGATTTACAAAACTGAGGAGGGGCTGGGAGGATAAAATTGTAAATATACAAGTAAATATATTAAATGCTCATTATGTTTGGGGGGGCCAAAATCATAAATTACATGGGAGTTATAAAACTTTGGGGGGGCCACGACCCCCCTCAGCTCCCAAGAAGATCCGCTACTGATAACTGGAATCGAGATCGAGAAACAATTATAATGCACATGGAACGTGGAAACGGTTTTCTAAACCGTAAACTAAGGTAAAAATCGAGGAACGTGCATATGGAACGTGGTGACAGTTTTTTAACTGCTCTTAAGAGGTTATGTTGAAGAATGGCTATAAATAGAACGAAGCTTGAAGAAGAAGGGGAAATTGGCAGAGACAACAGAAACACAAGTGAAAAGTCTACCGAAAAACGATGAATCATGAAGTTTCTGGCGATCTGGATTTCCATTCTCATTGACTGTTTTTACCGCTTTCTGTACTTTTCCTGGTAACTTATGTTCATGCAATTTGCTTTCATGCAATTTACACTTACCAACTTTAAGTTTCTGCACTTTCAATTCCTTGTCATTTTACCTTTATGCAAGTTAAAATTCTGCGTTTAAGT